CTAACATGTTTCTTTTCTTCATGTCTTTTCCCCCAGGTGACCTTGAATGCAGGACTATGCCCACATCAACTGTGGCCATGGAGTTTTCTACATGATCCACAATAGACTGATGAAGCAGAAATCAACTGTTTTCTGTGAAAATGTGTATATTTTTACAAAAAATGTGTTTTTAATAAAAAAGGTTTATAAAATTATGTGTGGTGTATTTTAATATGTACTGGAATGACTTTCCCCTGTGAGTAAATCTGTGGAGATTATGTAGGTTTGTAGGAGATTGAGGATTAATGGATGGATTTGTGTTTGTTCGGGGATGAGGTCCAATAGGATCATTTGAAGCATCTCTAATTTAAATCTGGGTTGTATAAAATATGCAAACAGCTCTTAAAGTTAAATAAAGCCATACAAGTATTGAGTATTTGTGCATTGCTACTAATACAAACAAGATCAGAAGATGTGGACTGCAAAAGGCATCTTTAAACATTACTTATAAAGCTTCTGAAAATCCAACCTTTTTAAATTATAAGCAATAATAAAAAGTGGTGGCTGATCTCCACACTTTATAATTTAATCAAAATCAACATACATACTGAGTTTCTCATCATTTATACTTTTACTATGCTAAATATTTACTGAAATGCACACTGATAACCATGCATTTGCACCACAATAGTGTTGCAGGAGACAATAGTCTAATTTATCTACCTCCTATAAAATGATTAAATTAAACACAGAAAATTGTCTTTGAAGTAGTCTAACTCTTAGCGATGCTTATTTTACTAATCAGATATAGGTTTGGACATATTTCCGATTGAGAATTTACTAAATATTATAATGGGTGACTATTTGCAGGATTTATGTAAAATCAGTAATTTTGTCTCGTACACTGTTGTCGGCTGTTCCTAAAAATGAGCTAAACAATGTTTTATGTTGGAGGTGATATTTGTCAGCAAAAATTTTTACTAATTAAAAATAAACTTTAATATGAACAATTTCTTTTAAGCACACCAGGTATGTTGTCTCATTTTTGTATAAACATTCATTACACGCCGTGAAAATAGAACATCCAAATTTTAACCTTTTAGTATTTTTTATAAGACAGTAACGTTACTTGAATTTAATGTGCTTCACGTTTATATAAAACTTAATTATTGGTTAGGACTTTGTTTTATCGAAGCAGAATCTACACTTACAGAGGTACTGCAGACTGAGGGGAAATATACTATTTAACGATATAAATGTCCTGTTAATCAAACGTATTTAAAAAAAAAAAAAACCTCAACCTTTATTATTGGTCTATGTTCATTCGAATCCTGAATTCATTATAGATAAACTGAAACTTTCATTTACAACAGTAAAGGTGTAACGCTGAACCATTTGGGTAGTAAAGCCGAAAAAGCCCTCCATTTTAGATCCATCCCACAGTGCAATATGTTAATTATTATGACGGTATCGATTAGCCTTTTTAGCCAATCAGATTCGTTGACGTAATCGCTGACGCACACAAAAGGAAACGCCTCGTGCCTCTTTTAAACGCGTTGCTTTCTTTCTTCCGTCGAGCGTGATCCACCAGTACGTCCATTGTGAGAAAATGACTAACCAACTCTGTAAACTCTTCGTCGGCGGCTTGAACGTCCAAACAACCGATGAAGGCTTGCGGGCACATTTCGAGCAATATGGACAGCTAACCGACTGCGTGGTGGTGATGAACCAGCCGCTACAGCGCTCCAGGTGCTTCGGCTTTGTAACATACTCGAGCACCGAGGAAGCGGACGCCGCCATGTCTGCTAGGCCTCATATCGTAGACGGCAACAACGTGGATCTGAAGCGAGCGGTGGCCCGGGAAGACGCCGGTAAACCGGAGATGCTCGCTAAGGTCAAGAAAATATTCGTTGGTGGACTGAAAGACGACATCGAGGACGAACACCTTCAAGATTATTTCTCACAGTTTGGGCCCATCGAGAAGGCGCAGGTCATAACCGACAAAGACACCGGGAAGAAGCGAGGCTTCGGCTTTGTTTACTTCGACGACAACGATTCTGCCGACAAAGCCGTCGTGATGAAGTTCCACTCCATCTGCGGACACAAGGTGGAGGTGAAGAAAGCGCTCACTAAGCAGGAGATGCAGTCCACCGGTGGCGGTCGCGGCGGCAGAGGAGGCCGAGGAATGGGCCGGGGAAGCGGCTTTGGTGGCGGCGGAAGAGGGGGTTACTATAACGACTACGGCTACCAGAACAACGGCTTCGGCAACAATTCCGGCTACGACAGTCAAAACGGCTACGGAGGCGGTTATAGTGACCAGATGGGCGGTGGATACGGCAACGGGAATGGCTACAGTGATTTCGGCGAGGGTTATGGACAGCAGGCTTCGGGCTACGGCGCTATGAAAACGGGCTACGGGAATTATTCTTCCGGTAGGCAGAGCAGTGGGCCGTACCCACGTGGGGGAGGAGGCGGCGGCAGTGGCGGCTACGGAAGAGGAGGATATGGAGGCTATTAGAAGCACTAATGTGACTCTAAGCTGCGTTTTTACTTTTATTTTTTTAAGCAAACTATTTGGACTCTGGACTTTCAAAATATTCGGTATTGGTTTAAATAAGAGCGTTCTGTGCCATTACCAGTACCAGCAGACACGCGTTGCGTTTCTTTTCTTTGTTTCGGTTTTAGGTGGTCATGTGTTACCCAAGTCAAGCCTGTAAAACACCAGTGTAGGCTTTTGTGTGATCTGTTTCTAGGTTTATTGCCTGTCCATTGTTTGGAGACGAAACTCAGGGGTAATAATGAAATTTAAGCAGCTCGTTTTCATCGTGACCTCCTAATATTCTTTGTTTTTTTTGAGTGTAATATAATTTTTGTTTTAATGCTGTCACCGTTCCTATTGTACCACTGTTTTAAAGTTTTTCATTTGATCTGAAAGTTGCCATACGCCTTTTGACCATTAAAAACCAATCTTTTTCATAAAGCCTGTTTGATTCCTCTGTTTTTGTTCCACTGGAAGAGCTTTTCTTGCCTTTTTTAAATTAAACCTAAATCAATTTTATTGCTTAAATCTAATACAAATAAAGGTGTTGAGTATTTTAATGGCTATAAACTTGCAGCATGCCTTGTTAAAACACCATAACATGCATTTGAATGGTTTTTGAGTTGAGCTGTTTTCAACATTGTAAACTATTAAACGCCTTATTAAATTGATACCAGACCCCAAATTTTAAATAACCGGCTGTCATTTTAGGTCCTAAATTCTTAAATTCACAAATAAAATTGTAGGTTTTAATACTTAACAGGTGTTTCACTCCAAGTAGAGCTACCCAATCTGGCTAACATCCATCCAATCACCAACACTCCCAACTTAATAAAATCAGGGAAAGTACTAAACATGTACAGCAGACATAATGTTTATAAATAGGCATAAAACTTAAGGTTTTATAACAAACACACTAGGTTGACTAGAAATTGTACTTCTGCAATTTGGACCAAAAGTCAACAAATATGTTTTTTTTTTTATGTAATTGTCTTAACAATAAATTTACTTTACTGTACTAAATTAAACTTGTCATAAATATGTTGGGAAAAAAATGCATACAACTAGTGTGTACTTGTTTAGACAAAGTTTGTCTTTAAGAATGACCTTTTCTGTAGCAAATCGGGCTATTATAAATGATCAGTGTTTATCCCAGTCTAAGTCTATATTTTCATTTGAATGGTCTTATAAAGTCTTAAGTTTGACTTGATGAAACCTGCAGAAACCCTGCACAAAAAGATTAATCTGAGAATAATATAAATGCTGGAGCCAGATTAACATTAACATCTGAATGTATCATATTTAGGGTACATGAATGTTTTGACACACAATGCCCACAGCAAGACAAAACCTATTTCACACAATAATTGCTTTCATCTAAAAATTACAAATCCAAACTAGCGTAATTATATAATATAAACTACATTAGAAACTACATTAGTATATTTTTAAGTATTTGAGTACCCATCATCTTATATAAATGGTTGGTTGACTGCTGAGAAAAGGTCAATTAAAAGCACAATAAATCTAAAAATCTCCTCAATTACTTTAGTAGTTCTCATCTTTTACGCATTTCTTCCGCTGAACAAGATATAGCAGCCATTGAAATCCAGAAAAGAGCACCAAAAATTAAACTTAAATCAATTGTATTGTGAACAACTTGAGCTATATTGCTTTCAAAGAGCAATCTTGAATTCATGAATCTATACCAATATTTTTCTTGGAGTTACTCAAACCTCTTTTTATATCTCACATGCTTCCTTATATTTGTAGAATGCAAGTGTTAAGTCGATTTCAATGACCGCAAACTTGCAACACTCTTTGTTAAATCAAACACCACAACATGCATTAGTCTACATGAATGCCTTCTGTTAAACCGTTTTCAACATTTTTAACTATTGAACACCTTATTAAATTGATACCAGGCCCCAACCTTTACACCAACAAAACAAGACTTACCAGAGAATAACACAAATGCTGTAGCCAGATTAATAGACATTTAAATGCACATTATTTCAGGTGAACAAATGTCGTGTAATTCATAGATTTTGATTATGACATTTACATTTTTAAACTCTTATATTACCAACTACATTAAGCATTGGAGTACCCATCATCCTACATTAAAGGTTGGCTGACTGCTGAGAAAATGTCAATTAAAAAGGACAATTAACCTAAAATTGTCCTCATTTACTCAAGTAGTTGTAATCTTTGAAGCATTTCCTACTTCTGCTGAATACAAAACAAGATAAGGCAGCCATTGACATCCAGAAAGCAAGACTAAAATACTATGGAAGTCAATGGCCTTTTTCCCCCAACATTCTTTAGTATATCTTTATTTGTGTTCAACAGAAGAAAGAAACTTCATGTGAACTAACCCTTGAATAAATATTACTCTAAATTTGTTATCATATAATGGAAATTGTAAATGTACTTCATCATAATAAAGCAAAGCTTTAGAAAACTGAAATATAAGTGAATGTAAGTTTTCCTGAAAATTGACAGTTATTAAAAGCATTTTGACCTCGCCAATACATAAATCAAGAAATGATCCATTAACCACACAGAGACACAAATCTATTTAATAAATGTATTCTGATTCACAATTTGTTACACATATTAAGCTCTGCTCACTACCCGCTACTATTGAAATCAACTCTGAATATAATATTCTGGAAATATAAGAGAAAAGCAACAGTGTTTGACTTTAAACAGATTTAATTTGACCCTATAACATAATCAAGCCTTTACCTGACTCCGTTCCAAGCAGACAATAATACCTGTGAAAAATCTGAGGTACTGTACAAGAGACGCAGCCTGATAAATGGTTGTACTGTGTGCAACCTTTACACAACCAATATCAAACATATGCTTGTGGTGTTACACTGTTAGTTCTGTAGATGGAACAATAGTCCAGGGAATTACATTTGTTTACATTTACACTCTTTGGATTGCAGTGGAGATGTAATGAAAAGGCACTGATTAGCGCAGTGTTACTAGCTCCTCTGAGGACGTTGGGTGGATGGCAATGGTTCTGTCAAAGTCTGCTTTAGTCGCCCCCATGTTAACGGCTACGGCAAAACCCTGAAGCATCTCATCACAGCCAAAGCCCTGCATGTGGAGACCGACCACCTAATAGAAGAAAAGAGGCCCAGACGGGGTTTGACTAACAATGAATACAACCAAATATGGATGTTCTCAGTTTTGAGGCTCTTTTATGATCAGATTATGCTCTCACCTTTTCATTTTCACCAGCGCACACCAACTTCATGATGCACTGACTCTTTCGAGTGGTAATGGCGTAATACATGGGGGTGAAAGAAGTGGTGTAAACCTTCACCTTGTCTTTTCCATACGTCTTAACTGCTTCATCTACAAAAAGTAATACATTCAGGATGTTAGTATATCAAGTACCACTCACATTAAGAGTTGCTATTGCTGGAACTAAATCTATTACAGTAGTTTTTAGTGTTAAATTAATCTGAAATTAAACACTGGGTTCCGAATCGAAAACAAACGTCACTGACTGAAAAGCTTTCCATGACCTATAATGAACAGAAAAACTGACAGTTGTTGTATTGAGCACTGAAAAATGTGTGAAAAAACAAGTTTCAGAAAATTCATCTCTTCAATAATGGAAAGTTAAATTTTAAATTACACAAAACTCCTGGTATTCCATTACTTGGACAAAATAAATGACAAAATAAACAATAAAATAAAATTCTCTGTCTTTCAGTGTCTGAAATAGACCTTTAGAAATTCTGTAATATTCCAGAACCCTGAAAATAAAAAATAATTAATGGAGGCATGTAGAGTTGTCATCATATTGGGATTTCTAACTTTGATCTACTTTAAATATTGATATTCGATACAGTTTTCTATACTAGACACATGTGTGGTAAAAATGTGTGAAAAATAATAAACGCACCCTTTCTCTTTGCTGAATATCAGATTTAATTATCAATAATGACGATTAGGGTTGGACGATGCCGACCAATTTGGCATCATACGATGTCTGATCTGAAACATTGCGATGGACGATGACATCGTTGTTATAGGTGGAGGTGAATTAATTCTTTGTAGCCTACTGTTTCAACTACCTGACCCGCATGGTCTCTGTTTTACTCATAAACTAATCATAAATAAAGATAAGTTGCACACAAATCACCACCTGTCAATTACTGTTTACACTAAAATTACTAAGTACAAGTGTAAAAGTGAAAGACTGAAGCAGTGTACCGATGTTGTGACACGTTACCTGACAGATTCAAAAGACAGAAGAGTTGTAAGATAGAGACAAGATTAATTAATATCACGTTTAACAACTATAGTGAGACGTGATCCAGTGGTACCTTCTTGATAAACTGTCCGACGTGCACTGCTCTCTGAAGCTCAGAGGAGCGCATGACAGTGTGTTTGGCTGTGGCAGTGTCTGTGTGTGTGGTCACTTGATGTGCGTTTTCAGAGCTGTTCAGAAATGCTCGGTAAAACATGTTGTGGATGTGGATCATATTCGTTCTTAAATGCCATTGTAACACTAAGACGTATTAGTGTAAAGAGGGCCTGTTAGGTGTGTATTTTTCGCGAGGCGGTTTGCGACGGGCGGGGCGGAGGATCGGCGATGCCGGCTCAGCATCGTGTTGTCTATTGGCCATCGGCGATGGACGACGGCATCGTCTATTGGCCCAACCCTAATGGCCATTGTAAAAGTAACGTACAATAAGTTTAAACAATATAAGAAATAAAGGCAAGCAATCAGTCAATATGCAGAATCAGTGTACGTGGTTCCATATATTAATATATTAACTTATCTTTGCGCTCAGCCAAAACGTGTTACCTGAGAACAAGTAACAGATTCAAAAGAACATTAGATAGAGACAAGATGAACTAAATATCACGTTTGACAACTATAGTGAGATGAAAATCAGTGAAAGATACTTGATGCTCTCACCCGGGTGGCTGTGCTCAAAGCACCCGCTGACTGCCTGGAGCTCAGACGAGCGCATATGCTGCAGTGCATGGCAAAGTGTGTGGTCACGTGATGTGTGTTTTCAGTGGTGTAGTGTGGACAGAGATCTTTCCAGAAATACCAGGTGAAATGCCACTGTGTACGCAGATCATTTTCATTCTAAAACACCATTTTAAAACTAAAACGTATTAGTGTAAACGAGGCCTGAATGGAGACCGACGGGTTGTTTTATTTAGCATCTCTACTCCAAACATTTAAACTCAGTAACAAACAGGAGTAGACTTCAGTTTGATGAACAATTAATATTACTGTCTGATGTATGTGTGGGGGGCTGGGACTGTTAGATTAGCAATTTAACAGTCTACTAAAGAAAATATTCAACACTTAAACAAGACAACAACAAATTAATGATCGATTTATAATCAAAATCATGTCAAGATATTTCTGTGTAGAATTTACTGTCTGCAACTCCATGTGCCAATACACACACAGAAAAATGGATACAAAGAGAAATATATAAATGGGAAAACAAATAGATGAATAGATAGGAGACATGGATGGATGAGTACCAGAAGAAATAAATAGATGGACTGACAGAAGGATAGACACATAAACTGACAGATGGATGATCCATTGGAAGGAACCAGAGAAGAATAGACAGATAGATGAATGGATAGGTAGACTATAGGCAAACAGATGGAGTAATGGACAAATATCAAGAAAGGAATTTAAGTACAGTTGGATGGATGGTTAAATGGACATATAGGAGGATAGATTGATGAAAAACAGACAGATGGATGACTGCCAGTAAAAATAGATAGATTGATAGATGGATTGACAGATAAACCGATGGATGGTCCAATGGTAAGACAGACAGAGAAGAATAGACAGATAGATCAATGGATAGGAAGACGACAGGCAAATAGATGGAGTGATGGACAAATATCAAGAAAGAGATTGAAGTACAGTTGGATGGATGTATGGATGGATAAATGGACATATAGATATGATGGATGGAAAAAAACAGACAGATGGATGACTGCCAGAAAAAAATAAATAGATGGACAAACACATATGAAAGAGACAAACAGATGAAAGTACAGTTGAAGGGATGCATAAATGAGGATGGATGGATGGATGGATGGATGGATAAGAGAGACGGACGGACAGACAGATAGATAGGATAGATAGATAGATAGATAGATAGATAGATAGATAGATAGATAGATAGATAGATAGATAGATAGATAGATAGATAGATAGATAGATAGATAGGAGAGATAGATAGATAGATAGAGAGACAGACAGACAGACAGACAGATAGATAGATGGATAGATAGGAGAGATAGATAGACGGATGTATAGATGGATGGATGGATAGATAGATAGATAGATAGATAGATAGATAGATAGATAGATAGATAGATAGATAGATAGATAGATAGATAGATAGATAGATAGATAGATAGATAGATAAAATGACAGATGGATGGTCCAATGGTAAGACAGACAAAGAATAGACAGATAGATAGATAGATAGATAGATAGATAGATAGATAGATAGATAGATAGATAGATAGATAGATAGATAGATAGATAGATAGATAGATAGATAGATAGATAGACAGATAGATAGATAGACTGATAGGCTGATAAAATGACAGATGGATGGTCCAACGGTAAGACAGACAAAGAATAGACAGATAGATGAATGGATGCGTAGATGACAGACAAATAGATGGAGTGATTGACAAATATAAAAAAAGAAGAAACTACAGTTGGATGAATAGACAGATAGATAAAGCTGCATACCGAGTGTGATGAAAACTCGAAGCAAGCATGAGCTCACCTTCAGTTAGTCCCACGGTGCCAATAGGCGGGTGGCTGAACACTACTGTAGGGATGTTATTATAATCGACTTTGGAGTCTGCTTTGCCCTCAAACAGTCGGTGAGCAAGCTTTCTGCCAGCAGCAATAGCAACTGTACACACAAACAAAAACAGGACACAACAACAGCTCATCAAAAACTAAATACACATTCACAATAAACAGATGCTGAAAAATGAAAGGGATAGTTCAACCAAAAATAAAAATGCACACACTATTGACTCACTCATTTACACTGGTGGATTCAAACCTCTATGAGTTTATTTTTTCTGATGAACACAAAAGACTTTACTCTGCAAATGGCAGAAACCTGTCACTATTGACATCCATATTTTTCCTACTATGGAAGTCAATTGAGTGGAGGAACTATGACGTCACCTTGTAGGCCAATCGGCTGCTAGCATAAAACCGGTTCCCTCGATAAAATCCCTATAGGATTTTCCCACAGGCTTTTCGAAGATTGCAAATAATAAGCTCTGTGTTCAAACACAATTCATTATACTTGCATGTTTTGTCCAACAAAATAATCCTCACACAGAAATCTAACTTTTTTCACTTTAGGATCTTAAATGCAAATGCAAGAATTGAAAAGCTAACATTGGGCAATAAACGGACTACAGTGCCATCGGCCTCGCCACGGACGTCTGCACCATCCAGCTACAGACAACTTTTCAAGCTTATTTTTAGAAATATGGTCCATGACAAAATTTATGTGGATTGAACATAAAAAATTAAAGTTGTCCCAATGAAATCTCAAAAATTATGTTGTTTCAGCTTATTTTAAATAAGTAGTTTGAACAAGTAATTTAAAAAAATGTTTGAGTGTATTATAAACAAATAAATACGCAAAAATACATCTGTATAGACCTATGTGCTTTTTGGGTAGTTTTTTTTTTGCTTGGGAAATACATTTTTGTTTTGTTTTACAGTTTTTATAATAGTGTTAAAAGTCTATGTATAAATGTGCCTACAAAGTATTTTCATAGGACATGTTTAAATAAGTGTATCGCTCTCGTTCATATATGTCTGCAAGTTCCATCATGGACACAGAACATTCAATATTCTTTTTTTTTGTCACAAAATACAGCGAAAAGCAGCCCATACCGTCACATATGCTATTAATATTAAGGAGGACTACATATTGCAGTTATGAGTTAAATATGTTCAGATGAAGAAAAAAAAAAAACAATGAAAAACCAATTGATCACGTTAAAATAACAATGACAATATTAAATATTAAATAGTTAATATGTATGTATTTTTTCACATTTATTCACACATTTGCATTACTAAAAGCAGGAAATAGACTGTTCATTCATTCATTCATTCATTTTCTTGTCAGCTTAGTCCCTTTATTAACCCGGGGTCGCCACAGCGGAATGCCAACTTATACAGCATATTTTTATGCAGCAGATGCCCTTCCAGCCGCAACCCAATTCTGGGAAACATCCACACACACACTCATACACTACGAACAATTTAGCCTACCCAATTCACCTGTACAACATGTCTTTGGACTGTGGGGGAAACCAGAGCACCCGGAGGAAACCCACGCAAATGCAGGGAGAACATGCAAACTCCACACAGAAACGGCAACTGAGCCAAGGCTCGAACCAGTGACCCAGCGACCTTCTTGCTGTGAGGCGACAGCACTACCTACTGCTCCACTGCGTCGCCAGAGACTATGTTGTTTAATTAAAACAAATGATCAACAAATGTATCTGTCTTGATGGTCTCTACAAGTAAAGGCATTATCTACACACAATATTAATTCCTAATTAGAAAAATACTATTTATGAAAATATTTAAATAAAAGACAAGTCCAAATGCCCAACCCAAGCGAGCTGCGGGATGTTGCTAGATCGGATACGGTTGCGGCCGGAAGTTAACAAGCCAAGGGCAAAGTTAATAATTAATTATTTCTATTATTTATTAAATTTACCATTTATTGTATTTTATTACGTCTAACCCGATCTCAACCCTAAACCCAACTGTCACAGTAATGTAAAAACAGCAGTTGTAACACGCATTATTTATGTTATCTATTAAATTACCAAATAAATTGTTATTTTTTTAACCGTCTACTCCCACCCCAACCCCAAACTCAACTGTCACAGTACTGTAAAAATATGAATTATTGTTATACAGTGTCATAAAAATGCTGCTATATTAATGTGCATATCAAACCTCCGGCCAACTGCATATCCCATCTAGACTTTACCCGAGCTGCATTCCAGACCAGATCAGCTCGATGATGTATAATGTCTCACACACCGCCAGTAGTCCCATTTACCAACATGATAGCAAACGTATTTTTAAAGAAGCATAACCGAATAAAAAAATCTAGAGTGAGATATAACTGATGTGTTTTATTTTGTAGAATAAAACGTGAAAGTATCTTGAGTTTGTGTTAGCCACAAACCTTATTTAAGCGATTTAACCAAAATCCCATTCAAAAAACCTATTGACTTTGGGATGAGGGAACTGGAAGTGCTAAAAACTCGCTTCCGGGTTTTTGCATACAAATTGATGTCATAGTTCATCCACTCTATAGTTACAGTTTTTTTTACTGTGTTTTTATTATTGTTTTTTTTTTAAACATAATGCACAAACAACATTTACTTATGTTTACAATCACAAAAAAGAAACAAATAGATAGAAAATAATAATTTATAGAAATTATAATAGATAAATAATAGTAACAGCTTTAAAAATAAAGTAAATAATTAAATAAAAAAAAGGGGGGGGGGGGGGGTAAATAAATAAACAAACAAACTCTAATACAAAGACAATAACTACAACAAAGACAAAGCCCCTGACAGCCTTTTAAAGATCAAGTATGTATGTTTCAATTAATGACTAGATCTGTTGGAAAAAGTCTGATTTCAACTGCAAATCTGCAGTCATTTTCTCAAATATTTATCTGTTTCAATCTCTGTGTCCATTCTGTTTAAGTAGGTTGGCGGATCTTGATTCATTACAGGTTTTTAACATTTACAAAATAAAGTCTTTTGTGAAGAAGAAAAAAGGTTTGAAACAAGTGAAGGCCGAGTAAATGGGTGGATTATCCCTTTACTTATCCCTTTCTCTGACCAGCAGAGGTCACTAGAGTACACCAAAAGTGTAAAACTCAAACAATGCACAACTTCCTCATTGGCAGTGACTGTTGTTTGTTCTAAATGTGAATGGTTTTATTTACATAAACCAGCAGAATAACAGGAAGAAGGAATCAAACATCACGCATCATGATCTTTTAAGCTCAATGAAAATCTCAAACGTAAAGGGGTAGTTCACCCTAAAATTACACCTGTCTTCACTGACCCTTCACTTGTTCCAAACCTATTTGAGTTTCTTTCTTCCATTGAACAAAAAAGACGGTATTGAAAACGCTGGTATGTGTTTGTTTTATCAACAGAAATCGATGGATGCCTTTCATTAAAGTATCTTCATTTGTGTTTTACAGAAAACTGATAAGGGTGTAAAATTCACACAAGGGAGATTAAATGATGAGGTAATGTGCATTTTTGGGTGATCTATCCCTTTAATTAATTTCTATACTAAGCTGAAACAGAGAAAGTGTCTAAGATCGAGCTGTGTTTATGAGTTCAAACAGAGCATCAGGAAGATTTGAATAGATGTGAACCTGAAGCCGTACCAGGTGTCAGAAGGGCTCGTCCGCAAACATCCCCGACTGCATAGACGCCTGGACGAGAGGTGTTCTGGAACTCATCCACCACGATATGACCCCGTTCATCAAGTTTCACACCCTGAATAACAATACACCCTCGATTATTCATACTCTGTCACCAAGTGATAACAGTGCAAAGATAAACTTGCAGTTTAAAGGAATGCTCTAGGTTCACTTATGAACACAATCTCTTGCGTGTTTCAGCAGAAACGCTGTGTACACAATGACAATGCATTACAGAGAGATTAAAAGCAGAAATGTAAAGCTTGATACAAGCGTATACCCAACCCAGCATTATAAAAACAGAGAGAGTTGCACTTGGATATATAAATATGCTGCTTTGGCATTGATGGGAAAGTTTTTTGATACAGAAAAATGGATAACACTATGCAAAATGTAGCTCAATCAATATTAACTTCTCATCTGTGATTAGATTAGGTCTTAACATTGACACTCGCCAACCCGCCAAATGTGGGGGTAGATTTCCCCTGTGGTGGGTAAGACAGCCACCGCCACTAGCCTCTTTGGCTGGTTAAAAATAATTTTAAAAATTGTAGTTTTCTTAAAAGCAATGTTTGCAATAAAGTTGGCCCAATATGCATGCAAATGTGATCTTAGAATCTAGAACCAGCAAGACTGACAAAACCTATTATGTTTGCGGGAGCAAAATAAAGCAGCTTAATACCGAATGAGAGGATGATCACTCGCACCCTCAGGTGATGTGATGCGCATGATTGTTTAATACGCATGCACGCTCCAGTTTCCTTGCGTGAAACAACTGTGCCTAGAAACGCAACTGGTGTGATCGGTTCTCTTTCAAATAAACAAGACAAAAAGTGATGCTCTTGCACTCATAGTTTTGCTGCTTTTAAGAGCTCCAGATTCGTCTTTTAGTAAGCAGCACTGAATATTTTCGCTTTAACCATTCTTTGAACAGATTATTAATTGGCCTAGCATTAACCTTGTGTGTGATCATCCTTTTATTATCACACATGGAATGTTTTTCACCTGCTTTCTTTTGCTTACCGGTATTTTTGGTAATTTGGTTTATCATTTTTTTACAATAACATTGCTTTAATATGAGATTAACTCCCCAATAATGAGTAGTTAACTGGTGATATAGAACCTTTTGTCATGATAGATTACTGTGCATAGTTTTAGATGCACTACAGCAGTTATTTTTTAAATGTCAATTGTTTTTTTTTAAGAAATGTTTTGTTAAATGAATAGTATACAGCTATATTTTGCTTGTTTTGACAAATTTTAAAATTGTGGATACAAAATAATAATTTATTTATGTTTGTTGTGGTCAGAGATAAATTTGTTGAATCCTTAATTTGAGCTCTGAAAAGTGATGTGAAATAAAAACTAGTTGTAATACAACCCTATGAAACCATGGCCCATTTGCTCATACACAACACACCAAAAAGTTAAATAAATGAGGAGGCATGTGGACATAACACAAAATCTAAATCAAGTCATTTTAGCATGTCAAAATTGATGCACATAAAATATATTTTCTCAACAACAAAATTGTGGCTATTGAAAATGGCGAGGGGCTAGTAATGTCGGAAATCTACTAGCCACAATGGCTGGTGATCAAAAGTCAATGTCAAGCCCTGGTGGTTAGGCTTGCATAATATTCAGGAGTAAAAGTTACATCCACAACCATTTTAAAGATATATTTTATAGCTTAAAAAAGCCTAATTCTTTCATAATTTTGAGGCACTCGGTCAAGCATTGAATGCAAAATTACATCTTGAGAGGCCAAAAGCAGTGCTAGCCACTAAGTTGCTAATAAACTTAAACTACTAATAGAAATAAAAATAGCATTAAATAAATGTAAATTAAAACTTACTATTTGACTGAGGTTGAGGCCGGCGGTGTTGGGTTCTCTGCCAATGGCCCACAGCAGGCAGTCTACATCATTAATGGTGTCAAACTTCTCTTGTGAATCCTTGTCATCCGGGTCTTTTGTAACCAGTGTTATAGAGAGGCCTTTGCCATTCTTCTTCACTGACTTCACCTGTGAACAATATTAACACATTTGGAGGTTACTCTTAATTTTGATGCTCTCCTTTAGACATTGTGCCCAGTCTTTGTTTTCAAACATGCCAAATAGTACAATTTACATGTGGTATGAAGATCACACGTGGATGCTGCCAAGCACAGGTTTTACCATTTTGAGCTGGCCACTTTAGATCACTTCCAGGTATAGATGAAAACACATTTAATTGGGGCGCTTATGAGCAAGCTATGGAGTAGGGTGCAAGTTGGGTGAGTTGTAGGGCTGTGTGATTAATTGTAATCGCAATTTAAAATGTTGCAATTAGCTAATTGGAGGAGGCTGCGATATGACATATATATTATTTAACTTCCCCGCTCAGAACAAATGCATGACTGCCGTCTTTGTGTGACAGTCTGTGTGTGACAGACTTACTAGCCAATTGAGTGAGCACACTTTCGTTCTGCCCAATCAGAATTGCGCAACCTAACTATGCGGAACAACCACAATAACAAACAGGAAAGCATCTCCATGTTTTATTAACACTCATATATGAGACATGAACAGTTAATAAATCAGTTAATAAACATTCTTTTTGCATGATCAGGCCTGTAGCCGGCTTTTTGAATGGGTTATTTTTGCAGTTATTTGCCTGATGTTCTATTTAATATTACATATTTTATTGACATTTGAAGAACACATTTTTACTGGATTAGGTTGTCGGATGGTTATCATAACCACACTTTTTGATGTACCAAAATATATTTTAAACCAATCTGTTAAATTGCATATCATACTATTTTACTATTTTAAGCGTTTATTTACATATGTGCATTTAAACTGTAAGCTTTATATTACAGTTCTATAAAATAAATGAAAATTTAAATTAAACAAATATTAAAATATATTTTTTTACACACACACACACACACACACACACACACACACACACACACACACACACACACACACACACACACACACACACACACACACACACACACACACACACACACACTATTCATTCTTGGGGTGGGGGTTGTTTGATTCACCCATTCCCACAAGTCAAGTGCAAACCTACGCCCTTGCTAAAATGTCAACTAAAAGTACTGTCAGTGACATTCAATCTATTAGTAAGCAACAGCAAAGTACAACTTCAGAGTTGTTTGCTAATACAAGTTAATATCTTTTAAGTTCCTTTTTTAAACTAACTCACAGCATTTTAGCAGTAAGAAGCTAAATACAGATTATTGAATTATTAACTAGACTGCAAAATTAAAACGCAAATCAAATCAAAAATGCAATATCTGTCAAAAACAAAAAAACAAAATCACAATTAGATATTTTCCCCAAATCACACAGCCCATGTGAGTTGTGTACAATACTTTGTACAATTAGTTAAATGAAGGCATCTTAGTCAAAATATGAAATGAAACACCTATCTAAAACTTAAATTCACTATGAAAGATGGCTATATTTCTTTATATATATATATATATATATATATTTCTTTATATATATATATATATATATATATATATATATATATATATATATATATATATATATATATATATATTTATATATATGAATATAAGTACACTGGGAAAACTGCTGCTAGCCAAGTGCATGCTAATACACCTACCCAAACACACTGACATTATTGGTATTAAATCTGAGCTAATCTCATCTATCAAAGCCAAAAATAACTGCGCTCTTTCAAGCAGAACTGTAAAATGTATTGGCACACAAATTTGACAGGGTCAAAGCAAAATTACAAGCTGTTAAAATCAAGATTGCAAGCAATGCTTCGGCTCTTCGCTCAGATTTTGAGGCAATTAAAACAACAATGTCAGACAAAGACCAAGGGTTATCTAACTGCTCGGATGACGTTATGGAACTACAAAACTCTGTGCACAAACTGGAGAAAAATGTGGAGAGCCTACAAGAGAAATGACTGGACATGGAAAGAAGAGTGAGAAGGTCAAACATTAGAATCTCACTCCAGCCTCAACATGGAAGTTGCTCAAAGATACCCTCAAAATGGATAAAGATATATTTTTTTTATAGATCTCATCGCACTCTCCTGGCAAAACGTACAGATGAAAACACATTAAATTGAATTAATATAATAAACACTAATGTGGTTGAATACATTCAGACCGACACAAAAGACCACATCCTCTTTTTGTGCCAACATTTGATTATTATGGGATGTTTTAGGAGAAAGGATACTAAAACAGATTATTAATACTTTGCTGCATTACACCAAAAGCATTCTTGTCATCCACATTCTTTTGAATTACCTGCTTTCTCACTCTTAAAGAGAGTCTGGTTTACAACATTCTTCAAATCACCACTTTTTGTATTAAGCAGAAAAAAGAAAGTCTAATAGGTTTTGAACTAGTGGAGAGTAAATGATGACAAAATGGGGTAAACTGTCTCTTTAAGTCATATAATGTGGGTTTGTTCTTTTGATAATCCTTGTGTGTTGAACTAACCACACCTAAAAAAACTTAATAAATAATAAAGAAGGATCTCGATTCACTCCAAAATGTTAAAACGCAGATTACCAATTGTTATTGGATCACTGAAATGTAAATGAAATGCTAAGACCAGGTCTAAAAGGTCTAACTATCATTGGAGTAATTGTGTACAATGTTTAGGGTTAGCAGAATAAGTTGAAGTACTTGGGAGACATTGAAAATAATAAGAAGGATATAGCCTACTAATATGCTAATTAAGTGTTTTGGGAATTTAATGGCAAAGTTTAATGGACAGAATAAAGAGGACCATCAGAATAAAGTCTTACATATTTGGATGTGCTAAGATATACCCAATTAGAACTGAAGTCTGCCAAACAAACTTACACATCAGGCTAAAAACTGAGACAACAACATGTAAGCTTACTCTGTACTAATTACCTGAGTATTTTTCCGTAAGTCAATACCATTATTTTGCAATTCTTTGGTGCAATTGGAGCTTATCAAGGCATCGAAGTTCCTCAGCACCTTGGAAAGAAAGAACAGAGTTATTGCTTCCTTTGGGATATACATGGCAGTATTATTTAAGCAGGTGCCAATGAACAGGTCTCTTACCCCTCCTTGTCGTATGATGATGGACGTTTTAGACCCAAGAGTGGAAAGAATACCAGCCATTTCCACAGCAATATAGCCTGCTCCAACTATAACACTACGTCTAGGTGGATATAATGGCTGGTTACTTCATGAAATTCTAAGAGCATAGTGATATACACGAATAAAGACTTACTTAGGGCAAGACTCAAGTTCAAAGAACCCATCACTGGTGATGCCTAAACTGGATCCTGAAAAGGTGATTGAATTAACAAAATGTTTTAGCAGATGCTGTACAAAAATCCTAAAAGTTATTGGCAAGTGCACATGATAAAAATACAATCAAATGAAGTACATTGTCCATAATGAGGAAATTTAAGCCCACCTGGCACATCATCCTCACTGACTGTGGATGGATGGCCGCCAGTGGAGATTAAGATATGGGTTGCTGTGTATTTCTTCCCATTGACTTCAACTGTGGGTTCAGGGTCATCTGTGAACCTTGCATAGCCATGAATAAACTCAATTTTGCCCTGTGTGCAAACACAAACAACTTTTAGTCATCAAACCCAATTTTGTAGATCATTCATACCAATTCATTAACATTGTGCATTTTAGACATTATTAGTAAGTATTGTGTACTTATATGGCACATTTATTGTGTATGGCCATAGACCCAAAGCGCTTCACAATCATGAGGGGGTCTCTCAACACCACCACCAGTGTGCAGCATCCACTTGGATGATGTGATGGCAGCCACAGGACAATGGCGCCAGTGCGCTCACCACACACCAGCTATTAAAGAGCCAATTTGGTGGGTGGGGATGATTGGGAGGCCATAATTTGTAAGGGTGGATGGAGGGAATTTGGCCAGGACACCGAGGTTACACCTCTACTCTTTATGGGAAGTGCCATGGAATGTTAAATGACTGCAGAAAGTCAGGACCTCGGATTAATGTCTCATCCAAAAGATGGCACTCACTGAAAGTATAGTGTCCCCTTCACTATACTGGGGCATTAGGACTCACTTAGACTCACTAACTCGCTGGCCTCACTAACACCACTTCCAGCAGCAATGTGGCCTCCCACCCAGGTACTGACCAGGCTCAGCCCTGCTTGGCTTCAGTGAGTAACCGGTCTTGGGCTGCAGGGTGATATGGCTGTGGCTTAGTAACAAGACTTTTTATACGACATTAGACTACGCTGATTTTTCCGTATGAGATCCCTATAGCAATGTTAGAAACTTGTTGGCGTTCTTGAATAATTTTTGCTTTTATGCATTTAGAAAATGTTTTTACAGTGCTTCATAAACAAATGAGTACACCTCGCTTGGAAAATGAATGTATTTATCTATTTCTCAGTGAATATAGGCAATATATTTTGGTGCATTTGAACAAAACAGAAACATTTATATACACATTAAAATAATATTTTGGTCACCAGATATCTTTAGAAATAAAAAAATACATTTAAATTTATGCAAAATATTGTATAAAAACTAAAAACTACAAAAAAAAAACAAAAAAAAAAATTATATATATATATATATATATATATATATATATATATATATATATATATATATATATATATATATATATATATATATATATATATATATATAATTCTCTTTTTAAAATGTATATTTAATATTTTCCCCTGACAAATAAATTGGACTGTCATCATCGAAAGCTTTTTTTTTGGCATATTAGCTCCAGATTTAGCTTCAGTTCTGACTAATTTATATGCACAAATATAATATTGTAAAGCATCCTATAGAAAATAAAATTTTATAAAAGAGAAATTTGTGATACATATGTGCACTGAGTGTATACAAATAAATTTACAACAAAGAAACTAAAAGAGCTTACCACTAATGTTGTTCAGAGTATAGTATTATTATAGATTATAGTATAGCTTATACTGATAATTTTTCACACAGTATCTGAGATTTTTGCTATTATATTATATAATAGCTGTAGTAGTGACAAACTATACACTATGTAATATGCACTTCATCATCTAGAAACATCAGTTTTAAGTAAACTATCTTATTTGTGCTTTATCCAGGTATCAGAAGTATATATTTTGAAGTATATTAAGCAGGGGTTCCCAAACATTTTCCTATAAAGGACCAAAAAGCTAACTTGATCGAGGGCTGTGAGCTAAATATACCAAACCGTATATAATAAGTTTGCCATGTGTAATTTCCTAATTTATAGTGTAATATTTAAAAATAACTAGAAAACTTTGCATTAAATCACATTAACTAATGCAGTATCACGTGAAACATTTAATAATAAACATATTACAGAAATAAACACCAACAATCCCATTTATAACACAATGGAGTTCAATAGTCGAGCTGCTTTTGACTTTATCTTGATTTGCTCACAGATATCTTATGCATTGTCCTCTATCTGACAGTATTTACATTATAAACTTAATTAATTGAACAATTTAATTTCAGTCTGCTTTTTCTTGTAGCTCAACAATGAAATAAAATGTTACGTTAAACTGGAAATGACGATCCCTGTCAAAATCATTCGCACCAACCACCTCCATCATTCTCCCTCTCTTTTCACATGGGATGACAGGCCAAATCAAAGGTTACCATAGACCAACTTTGGGCATCTCTAATATATAGAATAAAACATTAGAAAATGAGTGCAAACTTGCTAAATGTTTTTTTAGCCGTCCATAAATTACTTCAACTTCACATTTAGTTTGCTGATCAAAAAAAAAAACTTAATGCAGCTTACCTTTTCAAGGTTGCTCCTGTAAATCTGATTCAGGCGACTCACGTAAGCATCCCTTTTGTGTTTTATGATTCTGAAAAAACACACAACCAAAGAATGACCTTTATTCTATTCATTTATCTTGTTACAGCACTGAAAATCCTGACAGCTGAATTACTCCACCTCATGCCTTTGTGTCAACATAACGATATTGCATACCGCAAAAAAAGAGAAGCAAAACAAACACTGAAAGCATTCATTTATCAGAGCAAGTAGGAACTTAACCACCCACGAGTGTCACAACAGTAAAAAGTTTTTTTTTTTTTTTAAGAATTGCCACATTTTGCAGAAGCAACATCCTCTGAGCCAAGCTGTCATCACATACACTTACAATCTTAACAAATTAAGGTTTTCACTAATACATTTTTAAAATTACTGTAAACAAATTACTAAGAATGGAATGGGTTGTTTTGAGTGAGTATTTTGTACCAAAAGAATAATTACAAATGTGTTATGAAAGTGATTGAGAATAACACCAAGACTCACTAAATGTGGGTAACTGATATTACCACATATTAGGAAATCTGGTTTTGATTATTAAATTATATTTCTTAACAAGTATCAGTCAACATTAGCTAAACAAATAATAATAAAATCTTCTGCACTGTAAAAAAAAATCTGTAAATGATCAGTTTTCCATATTTATTTAAGCTTTTGAATTGCATTATGGTGTCTTGATCTTTTTTCCAACAACTTTAAACCTAAAAGTTTGAAAAAGTTAATTTAATAACATTTTTAATAGTTTAAAGTGATATTATCTGTGTTGGTAATAAACTGCTAGTACATTTTTTTGTTATTTTACAGACTTATTTCTCTCTATATATTATTTCTTATACATTATATTATTTCAAACTACTAAAATTTCACTTTGTTAAGCTGCAGAGTTCAATTTTCTACATCAAAAGTCAGCAGAGCAGAGATCAACATCCCATAATGCAATTTACAATAATAAATAAAAGGAAAAAAACTAAATATGGAAACTGTTAATTGTTACGTTGAGAGACGTAGTTTAAAGTTATTTTTTTGTTTATATTGTGTCAAATGTCTTTTTTCCCTGTTCTTCTTTTGTTGCCTTGACTCCTCCCCTCCTGAGTTTCAAGCAGGTTGCTGATTACTTCCCACAGCTGTGTGCACTTACTATGGAGACGTGAGAGGGAATAAAAACACAGGCCAAACACTTGGATGCTGAGAAAGGAGCTAGAGAGGAACCTTTCTCCAGAGCACTAGCTGGGTTTCAGTTGAATTATAGCTGTTGACAACTATTGAACTGTTGTGATTTAAGATGCAATTTGTGTATGATTGGTACTTGTTCTGTGTTGTGGCTAAGAGCAGTACCACAGTTTAAACTTTGATTTCTTTCTTTTGCTTTTTCCCAGGAAGCAGTAGGGAGGTGGACGGCCATTCCTTTTTGTTGGACTTTTTCTCCTGTTTTGAGGTCAGTCAGGGAGTCAGTGTAGTTTTGTTGTTGATTTTCATCATTGTTTTCTAGTAGTTTATTTAGAGGCTTTACTCCAAGACAGAACCCTGTTTTGATTGTTATTTTGGCTTTAGTCCACTCCTGAAGCTAGAGCTTCCTTAACATTGTGTGTTTGGTTTTGTAAATAAACTTTTGGAACTTTACTCTTTGTTGTTGTGTTGTGACTGGTCCCAGTTTAGTGCTCTTTAAATTAATATTGTTGCGTCCATTGTATTTTTCCCCTAGACTTGTGTAAGACGTAACATAATTAACATGTATATTTTATAGTATATATATATATATATATATATATATATATATATATATATATATATATATATATATATATATATATATATAAATAAATAAAAATGTTGAGTTTTGCACAAACCACAAAGGTAATACTAAATTAGGTTATCTGTACTTGTTTTATTCAAGTACTTCTACACTTTATCTATTTAAAAAACAGAAACTAGTAAAATAAATGTAGTTATTATTCTAAAAAACACAATTAAAGCCACAGTCCTACACTGCACACGCTCATTAAAAAACTCTGAAGATTTAAAACCCCAATAAAAACATGATCTTACTTACTGCCAGCTGAAATGTGCTTTTGCTCCCTCAAATCCATAGTCTTCATGATCATGGAGATACTCTGCATGAGTGGATGTGTTCCACATAACCTGGAAGCATGCACAATGTATTAAATATTTTATTTCTGAAAATTTCTGATTACACTTAATCAATAATAAATAATAAATAATTGATTGATGTATGGGCTGTGCAATTCATCGAACTCAAATTGCAATTTGAAACGTTGCGATTAATTAACCGCAAGAGGCTGCATTATAAAATATAAACACTTATATATGTAAACAAAAATAACGAATAACATTTGAAGTGAAGTGCTTCAAAACCAGTCTGCTACACTTCAGAAAATTAAACATGCTAGACTTTCTGCAATGGTGTCGTGAGGCATTGCAGACATGGTATCGATTGTCGTAAACTATGCCACATTACACAAGAAGAAACGATTGAATCTTGTGTCATGACATCCATTCGTCGTTTACAACTTGTAGGATCTGATAATCGTGTGATCTGACCAGGGCTTTATAATTAGCGCACTTGAGTGAGCACACTTTCCTTCTGCCTAATCAGAATCGTGCAACTAAACTACGGCCACAATTAAAAATAAATAAATAAATAAAATAAAAATAACAGTAAAGCGCTGACAAGAGGGATTATGTCGCCTGCAGCTTCAGAAGCATTCATAGACAAATTAATATCAAAGAATAACAGCATTTGTAATATGGGAATTTTTTGGTTTCAGTTACACACACCAAACAAAAACAGGTCACTTTTAAGAGCTGTTGCAGAATTGTTGATACGACTTTCAGATTATTGAGCTGAAGCTTAAATTAAATTAAAATCCGCTTGAAGCTTGAATTAAAATTTAACTTAAATCGCAATATGTCAATAATAAATAACATTTAAATATATAAAAAAATTGCAATTAAATATTTTCCACAATCGCACAGCCCTGTTAATGTCTAAACAAATAATTAATAAATAGTAATTTATAAAAACATTACCTTTTTAGGAACACATCCAACATTGACCTGAGGAGAAAAACAGTTTAATAATTGACCAAATCTGTAATATAGAGGTGATATCAGAATTATTAGCCCTTCTAAATGATTAACCCAAGAGTGTATTTTCCCCATTCTCTGTTTAACAGATTTCAACACATTTCTAAACTTAACAGTTTTAATAACTCATTTCTAATAACTGATTTATTTGATCTTTTCCAAGATGACAGTGATTAATGTTACTAGATATTTTTCAAGACACTGGTATTCAGCTTAAAGTGACATTTAAAGGCTTAACTAGATTATTTAAGCAAGTTAGAGGAATTAATTAGGCAAATTATTGTATAACAGTGGTTTGCTCAGTAGACTATAAAAAACATTGCTTAATAATATTGACCTTAAAATTGTTTAATAAAAAAAATCTACTGGAAGACATGAGGTAGGAACACTGAAAAATAAATTTCAAAGATTTACTAAAAAATGTAAGTTGAAGGCTTGTAAACAATTTATTTGGGCTGAATTTAAACAAACAAATAAAGTTGAACATTACTAAAATTAATTAGTTTGTTTAAATTCAAAACAAATAAATAGTTTGCAACTATTTTTCAGACAGCATTTTTTTCAGTGAACTTAAAATGCGACATTGATCAAAATGTTAGAGATGATATTATCAGACTACCCATGAATATTTCAATCTGCATCAGATTTAAAGAAATGCAGTTTAAAATTGTACATAGAGCCTATATATCCCCAAATAAATATAGCAAAATAAATAACACTATTTCACCTCAACGTCCAAAATGCAATAATAGTATCGGCACGTTCTTTCATTGTCTTTGGGAAAGTCCTTTGATTGCGGATTTTTGGAATGACATTTGTGACAAACTGTCCATAATACATAAACAGAAGGTTAAAGCCTCCCCATTAATGTGCTTACTAGGTGTTCTGCCACCCCCTTTTCTGGAACATTCATATGTCTTAAAACCTCTACTGATGCTGGGGAGGAAATTAATTATAAATATATGGGTCGGGACCATAGACTGTAAGGTCGGGACAGATCCCCCTCTTGTCAAGGACTAAATAATCCTAATTAAAGACACCATATGGAAAAGATTGGACATATATAAAAATAAAATCCAAGTCAGTTCTGTGGGAAATTCCTTTGACCCATCATGCCATTGATTTTAAGTCCACTATTTATCCTTAACTGCGCACACTTGTAATATTGTTTTGAATTAGATCACACTGCTGTTTTTTATTTATTTGTTTGTTTTTCTTATCTCTTCTTTCTTTTCCCCTTAAAATACTGCATAAAAATAATAAATAAATAAATATCCTACTAAAAATTAAAAGCATTAACGTAAAAATAAATAAATTAACTATTAAACGGCTTTTATTCAGGCCCAAATAAAACAAGACTTTCTCCAGAAAAAAATAATATTATAGGAAATACTGTGAAAAAATTCTTGCTCTGTTGTAAACATTATTTGGGAAATAATTAAAAGAAAATTGACAGCAGGGCTAATAACTTTGACTTCAACTGTACACCCAAACAAAATGCATGTGTGCTGGACAACAAAAACATCCCACAAACAAAAATACAGCTGAATCTGGACGCTTCCCAAAGCAAGTGTGCATGTGACTAATGCAATTGCAGAAAACAGAAAACAATGATAAGGCTCCGATGTAAAATTGAGGTATTGCAAAAAGCAAGATGGTCTTTACTCACGCAGGTACCTCCGAGTCTGTGACTTTCGATCACGGCAGTGGTGGCACCGAGTTCAGCCGCTCTCCTCGCACCGGCCAGCCCACCGGATCCTCCGCCGACCACCAGAAAATCAAAGCGCGAGACGGATCCAGAAGTCATGCTGCGACCAAGGAGTTTGCAGGAAGATGACAGCGAGCGTCCGAGACTGAGAAAAGACGACCGAAGTCGAGCCAATGGGCTTAATATCTCCATGAGCAGGAAGCAACACCCCGGCCAACGCAGTCACTAGTTGAACTGATGGGAGGGACGTGAAAGCCAGTGCTTAGTCATTGTGAATCGACACAATGGTGTGTAAATCCCAGAAGCAAGTTTGGACAATAGTTATAGTTAGCTATGCTTATTAACGTTACTGTCCTTCACGGACAATCACGTTCACTAATATCCCAGGGGTTGAACTTGCTTTGAACTCACTTTCAAATGTGACACACAACATGCTTTATGTACCTCGTGAATAATATATTATAACACTCGTAAAATTGGTCGAAAAGCGGCCACTAAACGCTAACTTACCGGTGGAGTGCAGCTTAAACCTGTAGCCGAAAGCCGTTTGCTGTAACTTATATTATTAACATCATTGAAGTAAATGGAGTATCATTATTTAGAGGTGTTACGATATGAGCTCTTTAGGGTTAGCTATGGTGCCCATCTTTGGTTTTGTTTATAACGGAATGTTTCGGAACGGAACCGTGTAGAGCTGAGCTGCACTGCGCATGCGCGTAGTCAGCAGCGGCACAGGAGGGAATATAATTTTTTTTTTTTGATGACTAAAATGGCCATATTCAGGGCTGATAAAGGTTAGCAAGTTTTAAAAAAATGATGATGAATATGTACAAATGTATATTTATAGGGAGTAAACAATAAATTGCACTAAAAACACTTTAAAAATATTGAAATACGTTTTAAAATATGCCTCATAATTAGGCCAACAAGGGACCTGCGCACGCAGAATTCCGCAGATTTTCAGTCCATCATTATTTTAGTTTATTTACTTGAGTAAATGTGTGTAAATCTATATATTTATTCAGTTTTTAGATTAATTGCAGTAATATTATTGACTAATATGAAAACTTTCATCTGATTTATGTACAATGCAGTTTGTACAGTATTATTTTCTGTCTTTTAGTAGAGATATTATTTGAGAGATTTGCTTTGTTTACCAAATAAAGTGAATCTAATTGGATTTACATTTTAAACATTAAATACAAATTTAAAATATCATATTTTTTATTTCACATATTAAGGTTTCAGTTATAATTCTCCCAAGATTATTCCGCAGAAATCCGCAGACTTTAACCAAATTCTCTGCAGAAATAGCAAAAATGTCTGCAGATTCCGTCTGGCCATACTCATAACCACATTGTAAAAGTTAATGTTCTGCATCAGTATTTTGGTATTGTTTTCCAGTGTAAATGTGCATAGATCCATAAAACAAGATTTGCATTCACAAAATGAAATTGATCAAAATGAAGTTTATGAGCCAGTGAGCTCTGAAAAAATCAGGCTTATTTTTGCTGTGAAAAACAAAAATACTGAGAAAGATATTCATATTCTACAATGTGTTCAATACTTAATTCCATGACTTTATCAACAAAGACTTTATATTTTGATTTAAAAACTTAATGTTTGAACAGACTGCAGAAACCCTGATATCAGAATGATTTCTGAACAATCATAGGACAGCCTGTCACTGGAGGTATAGCAGCATAAACATATATGCAATAACATGCAACGTATAAATAAAGTTGGTACAATATTTCATAACATTGCTTTACAGTATTTTATAATTAAATAAATGAAGCCTTGGTTAAAAAAAGAGATTTAATTTGTACAGCAAAGGTGGATAAAATATCAATATCTAAATTCTGTTTTGAAAATGATACCAAATTGTACTGAAGCTGACAGATCACAATCATAAGTTATGCTTTATGAATTTATAATAATTTTAAAATATGGTCAGAAAACAAGTGAGCTTTCTAGTGTTCACCTAAATTACATTTATCTACAAAAAATGATTAATATGCCAAAAGAAACACAGAAAAGTTTACTTGGTAGCAGACAACAGTCATCCAGATATTAACGATGACTAGGGCTGCACAATACATCATTTCAGCATTGATATCATGATGTGCGAATGCACAAAAGTCACAATCACAAAAATAAGTAATGTTGAGTCTGGATTATAGTTGACCAGGAGCTACAGAACTGTAACTAATCACTGTATTTATAAATAAAATTAATTTATGTAGGATTTTTGTATTTGTTTCTAGTCCAAATATCTACATTTCAAAGTGAAAACAAGATTAACTTACTCCACTAGCAGATAACTTGAAACAAAACAATATTTTTACTCGATCTAAGAATTTTTTGAGATATTTGGACTAGAAATGAGACAAAGGAAGTAAGAAACACTTTTTTGCATTGTAATATATTCAATTTCTGTACCTCAATACTGTTAGACTTTCAAATAGTGCAATTCAAACTATCTTGTGAAACTGTATTCATATTGCAATATTTATTACAGAAAAATAAATTATTGCAAAAACAAATTTGTACAATATCATGCAGTCCTAAAGATGACCACTACAAAATAATAGGAGAAATGTCACTGATGCATCATTTCAGGGCAATCCAAAAAAATGACATCAAGCCAATTTCCACATCAATATTTTATTTAAGAATTGTACAGAAACAAATTACATAAGAGACGTCTTCAAGGGAGCGACTTTAATCGTCATTCTCGAAGTCAGCGGGATTCTTCTTTTTGCACTCTTCATGAACATGATTGCCCCATGTGTAGGTCAGGTACGTCAGAGCCAGGGCTGAAATACACACGCAGGTTAGTAGAGAAGTTTATACAGCCTTCAATCTACACCATAGGTCTCAAACTCGATTCCTGGAGGGCCGCAGTTTTGCTCCAACCCTAATCAAACACAGCTGATCCAAAGAAGGTGTTCAAGACTACTAGATACAAAGCAGGTGCGAGTTGAAGGTGGTTGGAGCTTAACTACGCAGAGCTGCGGCCCTCCAGGAATCGAGTTGGAGACCCATGATTTACACCTACAATAGCATGGATCAAGGGTGCCCAAACTCGGTCCAGGAGAGTTTAGCTCCAACCCTATTCAAACACACCTGAACAAGCTAATCAAGCTCTAACTGGCATACTAGAAACGTCAAGGCAGATGTGTTGAAGCAAGTTGGAGCTAAACTCTGCAGGACACCAGCCCTCCAAGACACAGACATTTTAAAAGGATGTGCATTAAATACATTTTGGATTAAAATGACTTACGTGGTGCAATTTTGAATACAGATGACCTAAATCGCCTCCACAAATTGGGGACTCCCTTGGAAAAGTAGTTGGCAAAAGCCTTCTGTTCAAATGGGGAAATACTGTAGGTGATCACATGCCTCACCTTAGCCAGATTCCCAAAGTGAAGACCCATGGTGGCAAGACAGCTGATCTAAAAGAAAATAAACATACAAGGTTTGAGTCAGTAGGGTTTAAAACAATTAGTTTGTTAGAGTAAGGATATGTTTCTATGGTCAAGGGTGCTTCTCATTTCATATTTGTCCATCCTCATTTCCTTTCCTCACGTCTAACCCTTCAGGATGTGCGAGGAGAACGCAACAATAGGGTGCATGGACAGGGAAATTAGGTATCACTTTATTTTGATGGTCCTTTTAACATATTTTGTTGAATTTAAGTTACAATGCATCTACATAAGAGGTGTGAATCTACACTGGTTTAACGGATCAGTTACGATTATCAGCCATTGATTTGGTTCATTTCGATATCTCGGTGCATTGACGATACTTTCCATACACAGTTGAGAGAAATGGAGTTTACTTTCATTTTCTCAATCGCAGTGAAATAGGGGCTTCTGCTGTTCAGTGTCAGTAAAAGCCTGTCCAGCAAACACACAAGCAGTGAATCGTGCACAGTTTCTGGGCTTTTAAGTAGTGTTTTAATTACTCGCGTTAGCCTCCCTCGCCATAGTAAGCTATCTCAACATAGCGCATACAAGGTAAATGATATCAGGACGTAATAACCGGTCATGATTGATCTATTACTGATACAAATATTACTGATACTATCTATCCAATACAAAATTGTCCGCGTCTGCATTGCAGTGCACCAAAGAAACAATTAATTTTGTCACCCCCAAACTACATGCCAACTAATTCTCATTAAAATATAAGTAGACTGCTAGGTTGGGGTTAGTGTAAGTTGACATGTACTTTCTTATAGTCAGTTAAATGTCTGTGGAAGGAGCAGTATCAGCAGACAGTCTAATACTCAAATGAGAATTAATTGGCATGAAGCTGCAATGCAACTTTTAGTCAGCAAAATGTGCAATCGGGACCACCAAAATAAAGTCTTACTATAAATTGAATAAAGAGAAAAAAGTGTCATCTTTCAATTCTCTAGACCACTGGATTTTGCTCGCACATCAGGATTCTTAATTATTAGGGATAATTATGTTCATTATAATATATAGAAACTCCTAATACACCTAATACCCATTTGTCTATTTTTATTTAATTTCACCAGTATTCTGAACAACAAATTATTCCCAGTTGCTAACTGCTTTTTATTTTTTGGTGAACAGTGCTTGTTATAAATCTAAATTTAAGAAACTGTGAAAACAAACCATATTTACAATTTTCTCATGCTTAATAGTCACATGTATGATGCCTAGTGCTGGGGTAAAAGTAATACTATCTTAAGCCACTTAAAAGTAATGTAAAAGTAACAAACATTTATTATATATTACTTTTTACTTTTACACAACATGGTGTTTAATGTTTCTTTACAAAGTAATAAATGCCTGTTTGAATTAAAATTATATATAAAGGTTATTACAAATAATGAGCATCCTATAAAGCCCCATGAGTTTTATATGGCTGTTATATTTCACTCCATTTTTAACTAATGAATATAAAGAACTTAATAGCTTTTACTAATTACTGAAGTCTAAATGTGTTATAATACTTTTACCTAACACTGTGTAATGTTGCTTTACAAAGTGATGTATACTAGCATGAATTACAGTTAATAATAAAGAATATTACAGATAATGATTATTTATGCTTCACTATTAGTAATATTTCACTCCAACTAATGAATATAAATTAATAAATAACAGCTTTTACTAATTATTGAATGGGTTATATTACTTTTTACTTTTATGTTGCTTTACAAAGGTATTTAAACACCCGTTTAAATTTTAAAATGTTAATAATAAAGGTTAACAAATAATAAACATTTTAGACTTCACTATTAGTAATATTTCACTCCATTTTTAACTAATGAATATAAACAAATAGAAAAAAAAATAGCTTTTACTAATTACTGAAGTCTAGAAATCTCATATTTAACATTCCCTCACTTTCCCCCTCATTTATCAAGACTGTAATTTAAGTGCTTTAGCTTATTTTGATTATTTTATACTATCATGTTTGAGAACCACTGGCTTTAAGTATAGTACACCAAGTGAAAAGAGCTTGAGTCATGATACTTTAACTCACATTAAAATCCCTTTATAAACTTATTTATCTGTGTATGATGGGTTTGGATGTGGATTAAATTACACATAAAGCCAATAAACGAATCAAACATAACTAGTACATTATCTAGCAAACCATATATGATTATTTGAGGAGC